AAACTGTATAAGTATCTGAGTGTTGTGCATGTCACTATGTCTGTGTTTGTATTTTTACATATCTGTGTTTGCACATGCATCTGTGTATACTATGTCAGTGATCTACCACAGCCCTGGGGATACACCATGTAGGAAATCTATCTTCACAGCAATTACACATGAAATTGTTTTACCTTGCCAGTGAGTGGGAAGGATCAGTGTTAAAAATCTCTAATATATACGCATATATTTACTTATCGACCAGTACTTGGGATTGAAGCCAGGGCTTTCATGCTGAGTTACATCCCAGCCTTTTTATTTTTTATTTTGAGACAGACAGCTCTCTAATTTGCTAAGTTGCCTAATGTAGGCTTAAACTTTCAATCCTCCTAGCTCAGCCTCGCAGAGTACTAGGATAACAGATGTACATCACCACATCTGGCTAGAACCTCCAACTTTTAACTGCTGTGGTGAGCGGAATAATGGTTACCTCAAAGATATCCCTGTTATAATCTCTAGAACCTGTGAGTTTGACATTTGGCTAGAGAGAATAAGGTTGCAAATAGGTTAAGGTTGCTAGGCTGGCCATATAGCTCGGTGGATTAAAGCACCTGCTTAGGCAGATGCAGAGAACAGGGTTCAATCCCCTGCATGCTGCGCTGGCCCCGCAGACCATGGGGTGCACAGAGATGGCTGAAAACAGGAAGATCACTACAAATCATATATATGTAGTGAGACCCTGAACTAAATACATTAAAAAAAAAAAAATCAAAGTTGCTGATTGGTCTTAAAGAGATTGCCCTGGATTTTCTGAGTGGGCACAACTTTATCACAAGATTCTTTAACAGGTAGAATAGCCCTCTGACAAAAGTGTCAGTGTCAAAGTCCAGCCATTGAAAATAGAAAAGGCAAAGTAAATTCTCCCCTTGAGCCTCCAAGTAAATTCACTCCTGCCAGCACCTTGACTTTAGCTCTGTAACATCACTGTAGCGCTCTGACCATCTCTTGTAAACTGCAAGATAATAAAATCTGTGTTGCTTTAAGCCATTAAGTCTGTGGTGATTTGTTGCAGCAGCAGCAGGAAGCAAATATACCAGTGATAACTAGGTTTATGTCTATAAGACTCCTCCCATTTTCTAGTTCTAGACCACAGCGCCACCTAACTGTAGGGTGGAGTTGCATCTCATACTGGGGTTGGATTGAAAAGTCAGTAGCTAAGGAGAAAAATAGAGTCCAAATAGAGCTCAGGGACCTGGAGCCACCAAACCAGAGCAGATCAATACTCCCAAAGATGCCCTCCCCACAGGGCATGCTCCCCAGGGATCCAGCCAGCTAAACTCACACTACTTTGAATTGTTTTTCTCTCCCACTAGGCATACAATTCAATTTATATAAACTCAGAAAGCATATGCAGCAATCTATTGTAATTTCCGAATGGTTTTTATTTTCTGAGTTTGCTAAGGGAGGAATGAAAAAAAACAATCCAAAATTTTCTATTATGACTTGCCTTCCTTTATTGGAAAACATACTAAATGTATGGGGAAGTGTGGGGAGGAATATGACCCACATCCTTGTGCACATAATTCACCATTGACAAGTTCTAATGTTATTCTACATTTGGTAATGATCTTTAAAAATAAGTGAAATGTCCCAAGTAAAGTTGGAACCCAGTGTCCTATTTACCCTACGGATGACTTCCCTAGTGCCCACTCACTGAAAGGAGAAATCCTGATTTTGTTATTTACAACATTCTGGTGCTAGCATTTAACCTCTGTTATGCAGATCTGGTGCCCCAACCCCAAAAGTACCAATTCACGTATTTAGAGTCGCTACATAAAGACCACACTTGTACGTTTACTTCGGCTACCCTTGAGCTCCACATTAGCTTTCTGAGATGTATCCACCTTAATACCTGTGCCTTGCTTCCTTTTTTCTCACTGATAAATGCTATTCCATTTTATGAAAACATCACAATTTATTTATTATCCATTCTTATAGTCCCTAGGCATTGATGTTGTTTCCTACTTTTCTTTAGTATAAGGAAAGCATCTGTGATCATTCTTGTCCATTCTCTTGTTAGAGTTCTTCCCAAATGTATATTCAGGAGGGAACTTGCTATGGCAGAGGAGGTGTTTAGATTTGGCAGCCCTATTATCCCCATTACTTTACACTGTAGTCACCCTGATTTCCTACAGGTAGCACCCATCCGTTTCCTTTAATCCACACCCTGAACAACACACATTGTTTTCTGCCCACCTGATAGCTACAGGTTTTGACCTTCTCAGGCCGCGGTGGCACACATTGGCTCCTTGATTCTCATTGGGCAGAGGTGGCACAGGTCTCATCTATGACCACCTGGCAGGAGGCCCTGAGGGCCAAGGCTGCAATGATGAGCTTAGCACATGTGCCTGTAGCCATGAGGAGCTGGAAACAAACAAACAAACGAACAAACAAACAAACAAAAAATGGACTTCTTACACCCGAGGAAATCAACACCATGTAGACCAAATGTGCATTCAAAACACAAACACTATAGCATACCTGTAGAGAACAAATGATATTCAAATAATTGGCATGGTAAAGGGTTTCAATAATTTGTTAAATTTCCCAGTCTGGCTAGGATTGGTGATCCTCCTGCCTCACCCATCCAGAATGCTGCATATTACAGGCATGTACCACCATGCCCAGCTGAGAGCTTTATATTTCATAAAACATTTACATTGATTCTTTTTTTTTCTTTTCTTTTCTTTTTGTTTTGGTCTCTTTGAGACAGGGTTTTGCTCTGCAGTCCAGGCTGGCCTTGAACTCCCAGCAATCCTCCTGCCTCAGCCACCCAGAATACTTCAAATTATAGGAGTATGCCACCATGCCCCACTCCATTCCTTCTTTGATCCTGACAACACTCCTATAAGAAAAGACTTAGACTGCAATCCTCCTCCCTTTACAGATGAGCGAAGTGAAGCCCAGTGATAAGCAGAAGACTGGATCTTGCATCTCTGTCTTTGGCAGGAGCAATTAGAGATGGGCATCCAAGAGCTGGAGATCATCAATGTGGACCATGAGGCCTGTGCCATCTCAGGACCTCCTGGCAACAGATGCAGCATTTCCTCCTTTCCTGGGGAGGCTCAGACTCAGCTTATACACACCAAGTCAAGCTGTAGTAGCAGCCTGGCACTGCTACCAGCAACATCGTCCCCTCTGGGCCTGGAATTGCTCATCTGAACATGGGATGACATCGCAGACCCCACAGTCAAGCTGTGCACTCAGCTGAAGCAAAGCCCATCCCAGCTCAAGGAAAACACTCAGACACTGTGCTGATGGCGAGGGCAGGACAGGGTTGTGGCTTCCAGCTGCACCCAGGAGGCGTGGACTGAGGGCAGGAGGAGGATGCCACGGCAGGCACGGCCAAGAGCTGATCACTGATTCTGGGAGGCAGCCTTCGGGGAGCCCGAGGAGCACTGCTCTGGAGAGGGTGCTTTTGACATCCAAAGGGGATGCAGCAGAGCCACAGCCAGTGCTGTGGGAGCACCCACTTGGTCACCCAAAGGCCCTAGGAGGCCACAGCTTCCTTTTAGCCCTGGCTCAAAATGGGATCAAATTCAACAGTGAGATGACCAGGCCGTCCCCAGGGAGGGTTCGGGACAGACAACACCATACACACTAAGGGACAGGAAGCTGGGGAAAGGAAGTGAGAGACCAACCATCAACCACGTATTGGGGACCTATTTTCCATTTTCATCCATCCCAGCAGGCCTCTGTCATTAGGGAAGCAACTCGAGGTTTCTCACAAGTCCTCATGATCAGCTAGGTATCTAGCTCCAGTGGTAAAAGAGAAAAAACACAGGATTGCAAAGTAGATGCTTGGATTGGAGAAACACATCTGTAGTCCCATCACTAGGAGGCTGAGGCAGTATTTCAAGTTCAAGCCCAGTGTGGGCAACTTAGAGAGACTCTGTCTCAAAATAAAAAAATTTAAAAGGGCTGGAGATGTAGTTCAGTGTCAAGGCCTTGGATTCGATGCCCAGTATGTACCAGAAAAAAAAAATGAGATGGAGAAGGAAGGGATGCTGAGTCTGCTCTCACTCCTGACTTTTTAGCCAGGCGAACTAAGTTTGTAAGCCTCGGAGATGGGGAGCTAAAAATTCCTCTCCCACCAGCCCCGTAGCACTGCAACAGCAAGTGAGGAAGCACGCATGGCAAGGCCTCAGGACTGTGGAGCACTGAGTAAGTGGGGACTGCTGTGTGAGTGGCCCTGGGCCCTCCTTCTTGGTGGGGCAGATGTGTGGCTGTGAAGGCAGAAACATCCCTGAGGTGTGGTGGGTCCTGTCCACGGGTCGCATCATGGGGCAGTGGGGAGATCTACCCAGCCTCCCCAGAAATGAAGTCTGTAAGCATGGTCTCCCTACCAGGCTCCCTGTTCTGATGAGGTGAGACATTCAACCACAGGGATGCTCACAGTCAGCCAGGGCCAGGTGGCAGTCATGGGCTCGAATGCCAACCAGTCCCTTGCAACCTGGTCACCTCGGATAAGTCATTTGCCCTCTCTGAGAGGAATAATGGCTACCATCGCTGCTGGGAGGAGTAAATGAAATATGTACTTGGCACAGAGTAAGTCTTCCAGAAATCGTGGCTTCAAGCTTCATCTCTAAGCTTGTTCTAAGTTTTGGTCTGTGAAATGGGGGCCACTGGGGCTCCCCACAAGGCTGTTGCGCCAGTGAGAGGAGACACTGCATGAAGAAGCATGAGATGAAGTCCCCACGACAGCAAAGACCGAGGTGGCTCTTACTTCCCTGGGGATGCTCCGCACCTGCTGAGTGACTGCCACACTCCTGGCAGCACTTGTGAAACCTCTGCAGAGCGAATGAATGAAACAAGTACTCTCAAAATGGTAACTGTGGGCCACTTCAATTTCTCTGAGCCTCAGTTTCCTCACTTGTGAGACAGGCCTGTCAATACACACCTGGAAGGGCGGCTGTAGAAACGAAGTGCCCACAGCCAATAGTCCAACTGCTTTCTGACACTGGGCATGTCTGCAGGACCCCTCCCCAGGCAGACACCACTCGAGGAAGCTGGGTAATAAGAGCGATGTTTACTGAGTGGTACAGGACTGAGTACTAGGAAGGGCTTACAGGGCTGGAAATGCACCCCACCCACCCCGGCTATCCCTGACACCCAGAGACTACGGTACTTAGGAGTTAACACAACAGCCATAACTGGTGAATATCTGTCCGTATCAAACCATAGCATATTTATACTGTATCACATCAAGTGACTATAGAAATCCATATATATATTGCTTGTATAAAATCTTTTTTTGTAAAAAATAAAAAAAAAAAAAAAAAAAAGAAAGTATAAAAAACATGTGCAGTTGGAAGCCCCGCCCGGACGGCCAGTCTGTAAACATTCAGTGAGTGTGTGCTTTGGAAGGGCGCCCGCGCCTCACGCCCGCAGCGGACTCCAACAGGGCCAGGGAGGGTGCACCAGCTGCGCCTCCTGGGCAGGGCATCGAGCCCTGCAGCAGTCCCGGCCAGCTTTACATCCAGGCAGAGCAGGGCTGGGGCAGGAGGGCTGCAGTTCATGCCGAGGGCCGTCCTCGGCTGCATTTTGGTTGCAACTCATGGCTTTTCCTGGCTGCGTGGTGGTTCCTTGAGTGAGTGCCCTAGCAGAGGCCGGAGGAGCACCCCAGGCTGCCTGACTGGGCATCTCTCTGCCCCTGCCTCCTTCAGGCTGGGCTCCAGGCATCACAGCCCTACGCATGGGTCAACTTTGGTCTCAGCATCTGGGTTTCCAGCCTGCTCTTCACCTTGGGTGGCTGCTCTGAGTGTCACAGAAAAGCCCGCTGGATGCCAGCTGCACTGAGCCTCATTGCAGTTTCTCGTGTCCCAGGGAAGGGCCCTCTGGAAGTCATCTCCTCCCTCTCTGTCTCTCCTGCTCTTCCTCTTCCTCCTTGGACTCCTCCCAGCCCACGCTCACTTCTTCTCCAGCTGCTCCAGCAGGGGGTTGCCTTCAGACTCTGGGGTCTTGACGCTGTCGGTGCGGACAATGCAGGTGGGGCGGTGGCGGTTCAGCATAAGAATGAGCTGCTGCCGCTCCTGCTTCAGCTCCTCGATCTGGGTCTTCAGCTCGGCGTTCATAAGCTCCAGCCGCTCAGACTCCTGCACACAAACACAGAGGCAGCTGTGAGTGGTCACACGACAAGTTCACGGGACAGGCTCTGCTTACAAGGCACTCTGGGCTGGTGGCTGCATTGCCCACTTGTCTTGCTGTCATGGGTCCAACCAGTAGAGGTTGAGCCTCTGGGTTAGCTATTACAGGAAGAGCTCATCCCACCTTTGACACCAGCCTCTCGGGCACAGTGGCCTCCTAGCTGTTGCTCAAATATGCCAAGTACTCTCTTGCCTCGGGGCCTTTGCCCAAGGTGAGCAAAGAATGGAGGCTGAGCGGAGCTAGTGCAGGTTCCACGGAGGGGTTTGAGATGGCTAGCAGATGGCAGCGTGACAGCCAGCACTTTGTTGTGTGATACTGTGAGGTGGGGATACTTTGGTCTGTGGGATCAGAGAGCCCAGTGTGGTTAAATGGTTCTTAACATGCGCCTTCTGGGTAGTAGTCGATAATGATTTGAACAGTCTCTTCCACATACCCTGTAAAACAGAATCTTAGTCCACTGACAGGCATTCAACAGTCAAATTGCTGGTTGCAAAGTGAGGTTCTCAGGAGATCTCAAGTGAAATCCAGTACACTGCCAGCTCATGAAGAGGCTCTGGGGAAGGGAGGAAGCTTGGTGATTGGATGGGAGTGATGAGCAGGTGAAGGCCCAGGTCTGGCAGTACAAGACCTGGGGTGTCAAACAGCAAAGGAGAAAAGCATCTGAAGGATGTTCCCTGGACTGCATCTAAAAACTCGGCCTGAGAGGCACATTCATTTATGGGCCAGCAAAGCCTTAAGCCAGTAGTTCCCAGCTGGGAGTGACCGTGTCACCTTGCAGTCGGCACCAGGGGACGATGCTCCAGGCACGTAATGGGCCAAGGGCAGTGGTGCTGTAAGCACTCTCAAGAATGAACTAGCCCAGAGGGCCAGCAGTGCAGGGATGGCGACACCTGGCTCAGCCAAAAGCCAGCTGTGGTTGCCACACGTGTGTGACAGTGAACAGCTATCAGCCTACAAGCTTGCCTCCATTCGTCAGGGTGTCCCAGGTTCTGGGAATCCCAGGTGACGCCTACCTGCCCCCCCAGTAGCCAGTTAGACTGAGCCAGTCTGTGTGTGCCTCTCCCTCTCATATGGCAATGTGAGCTCCCAAGGAGCTCAGGACTGCTGAGGGAGACAGGCCACGTGACCAGACACCCAGAGAAAGCAACCTTGAAGAAGGCCGACAATGCTCAGAGGGAAAACCCTAACACCAGCTATGGAGGTTTTAGTTCAACAGGCTTAGACATAACTAGAAGTTTTCAGAATCCCCAAGAATCCACCTCAGAGAACCAGGAGAGATCCTACAGGAAGCCATGACAGTCTGCAACCCCATAGTTCACAGCATTTTGGTGCCAAGTCTGGCCACCTGCTCACCAGGCTTGGCTTGCTAGTGACCTTGGGGATATCTCACAAACTCCTTGACCATCCAACTCCCTACACCCCAGAAGGTTAGCTTCATGTTCAAAGTCACCTGAGCTTTTGTGTGCAGGGTTTGTGGGACAGTCCATCTACCCAGGATCATTTGCTGAGAACCCGCTTATACAATGAATGCTTGGGAAATCCACAGGCCACAAGTCTCCAATGTTTCTCTTGTGGACCTTCTACCAGTAGGGAGAGAAAAGGTCCACAGAGCATCCCGGAGAACCTCAGCCATCCAGAGCTTGGGAGACCTTCAGAGGGCAAAGGTGGGGTTTGACCTTGGTCTTGAAAGATGAGTTGATGCTGGCTTGTAGAGAAGGGTGGGGAAGGACCTTTGGGTAGGGAGCCCTCATTGGACAAGGCCATAGACACAGGGAAGTAGATGAGTGGGGAAGGAAGGCAGGAGAGAGCTACCCTATGAGAGCTTTAGGTTTAAAATCAAAGCCCAGAACAAGTTTCTTAACTTCTCTGAGCCTCAGGTATCTTGGTTGTTTAAAAAAAAAAAAAAAAAAAAAGATGGTGATCATGGTAATTAGATGAGCTCACATGAGAAAAGCACTTTATAAACCGAAGGGTTAGAAAGGCTTAACCCAATGAGCAGGAGAATAGTATAAGAGGAGCAAGATGTCTAGAGGGACACAAGGGTCTTGGTGACTGCCTGGACTTGCAGAAGGAAGGAGACAGAACAGAGAGCTGAATGGAGCCTAAATGCGACCGAAGCACACTGCTCTGCAGAACTGTGGGCGAGGCGCAGAGGTGTCGAATTTTAGGTATAGCAAGTTTGAATTTAAAACTAGACATGTAAGGGTAAGCATTTGACATGTAAAAATTTTTTTTAATATTTTTTATTTTAGAGAAGGGTCTTACTACTAGATTGGACTCCTAGTGATCTGCCTGTTTACAGCCTCCCAAGAGCTAGGATTACAGGCGACACCACCACGCCCAGTCTCAATTGCCATCTCAGTGCCCCGGGGGCAGGGCCAGCACAGCAGGCCCAGGGATCAAACCCCTGGCCTCTGAGCCTGCTTACAGGTGCTTTAATCTGCTGAGCTAGTTGGCTGGCTCTTTGACATGTAGAATTTGATAGCCCCACACACAGGTCCACCTTGGTAAAACTACCATGTGCCCCACCAAGCCTCCATGGGGACATCAGTGTCACACAAGACCGCAGGGAGTGGGGCAGCTTGCTTCACACAATGCGATCACAGAGTCACAGTTGCTTATACAGAATGTTAGAGAACACTGGAGGACATCCTGAATTCTTCCCAGCTGTTGCACTCTAAGTAAGCAGTTTTTACTTCCATTCCTTCTGTCTTCAAAGAGTTATTGGTTGGGGCCAGGGAGATAGCTCAGTAGAATAAGTGCTTGCCTGGCAAGTGCAGGGTCCTGAGTTCAATCCCTGGTACCGCAGGGAAAAAAAAAAGTTATTGGTCGGGGCTATGTACGTACTTATTGTGTAACTGTAAGTTGTATTCAGGAAAACCTTTTTCTCAACCATAACTATGGTTGTGTTTTTTTTTTTTTTAATCTTTTATTTATTTACGTATTTGCTACAAGGTCTCACTACACAGCTCAGACTCACAGTGATCCTCCTGTCAGCCTCCCCAGCACTGAGATTACAGGCATGCACCACAATACCTGAGTTCGGAGGCCAGCTGGGTGCAGGGCTGGCATGGCATGCAGTACTGGGGATTGAACCCGGATCCTTAAGCTTGTCAGGCAGGCACTTAGACCACCAAACTCTCTCCCCAGCCCTGGTTTGTGGCTTTATAACAGTGATCACCTGATTTTCTTCCCTAATGAATGAAGGCAGAAAGGGTTAAGACCTTCCACATACTAGTTACTGTGTGAAGTGATTCCTTCTACATTTTTTGGTTAATTGTTTAACTTCTAGTAGATATTTATTGCTCTAGAAAAATCAAAACGATTCCGCATTCTAGGGTACAAATTAGAACAAGTTAACCTTCTGCCTTGCACAGTGTGGTCAGGACAGTCAGGTGAAAAAGCTAATGTGAAAGGCTCAGTGTCGTGGTTTCATCCTGGCCATGAGACCTTACGACCTTAAGGTTTTTCTGTCTTTATATTAAAAGAAAAAGAAGAAATTAAAGTACATAACAAAGAGTTCCACTAACTCTTCTGCGAGAGTTGTGAAGCAGCCTTACGCGGCCTTCTGAACCTGAAACATGTCTAGATTACACTTCTGGCTCTGCCACTTGGAGGCCATGCTGCCAGGAATAAGCTTTCTAGCTGCCCTGAATCTGGGCAAGCTGAAGGCAGGGTTGGCTGGCTAGCAGGGAAAGCCTGGGTTCTTGGCCTGATGCTTTGGCCACCATGTGACCTCACATGAATCTGGTTTCTCGGGATCCTCATCCATGGAATGAGGCGCCTTGTCTCACCCCAGAGACACTGTGACCAGGCAGAAAAGAGTGGCCATGAAGACCACAGGATTGTGCGGGAGCATGAGGTGGTATGTTGCTCCCGCGCTCCAGAGAGCCCGTGTGTCCTGCACAGCCATGTGGTGGGGCCAGCGCCACAGAGGAGAGAAGGCTTGGCTGGGCAGCAAGTGTCCTGCGGAGAGGCAGCACGATTCCCAGGCAGACCTGAGTGTCCAGGGTCAAGGGCGGAGGCTGATTTTTCATCTTTAATACACACACACACACACACACACACACACACACACACACACAAACACACACACATTCCTCTCTCACTTGC